CATTTGTTCATTTTATCCTTTTAAATTTATTTAACATTAGGACATTATTCACTGAAAAGCATTTGTTTGGTCTTAGATAGCATAATTAATGCTGTATCTCCTGCTGATTTTCGAAGGGCATATTGCTTGATTGAGTAGAAGATCTTTTACGGATATCTTTCTTTTGATGTGATTATTTAAGTATGTGTTTCATTTAAATTTATGATTAATTGCTCCACGTTAACTATAGATAAGATTATGAACTGTGATCTATTTATTCGTCTGTTGTGGAAGAGTAGAGCTCCGCATTTCTAATGTGAGCTATATATGGCTATTGTAGGGACTTGGAAAAGTTCTATTCATGGAGAAAGTTTTGTTAAAATTTTTACAAAAGATTTAGAAATCTTTTATTTATATAAAAATGTTGCAATGATTTCCACTCGTATTTCAAATAAATTAAGATATTAGATTAGAGATATTTTAATGAAGGCTTAAGGAATATATATTTATATATAATGTCCTATGCCGGTCACATCTACTTTTTTGGATGTGACAGCAAAGGACTCAAACACTAACATGTAAAGTTGTATATTTCAAGGTAACTCTTTGTTTAGATTGGATAGCACTCAAGTTTGATTCAGTCACTCAAGTTCACTTGTAGTTGTCACTAAATTAGCCTCTCATGATACTACCAAAGTCCTGAAGGTAGTGTGAAAAGGTTTTCTTATCTCTAAAACTCACATGGTGATGGAACAGGGATCTTTCCATTTACTTTCATATTTTTGCAGTTATATAAGCATATGTAGTTTTAATTGCACGCCACAATGTTTTTCTTTAACATATAAGAGCATATGTTAATTTAGTTTATCAACACCGTACAAGCTTAAATTCCAGATACACATAGTATTTGAGCTGCTAGAACTCCAAGAATAATAGCACTACTCATAATAACATCCTGTATTAGGAATTTTTTTGCCTGACTACAGGGTGTTATGTATTGTGGGTATCCATGACTTGATCTGAATTTTTAAGATCTCATTTACGTTAGTGGTAAATGGATATGGATAATTTAAATTGTAAAACAATAATTTAGTTACCCTCTCATATTTCTAAATATCCATTACAGTTAATTTTTTATAAATTCATAAGTCATAAGAGATTATCATTCAATTCATAAGTGACGATGTATATATTTAACAAATTATACACAATTAACTTTTTATAGGTTCACAAGTAATATTTCTTAAATTTACAATAACTTTCTTTAAATTCATAAGTCATGTATCTTTCATTGGGGCGTGACAGATTATTTTAATAATTAAAAGTATTTTAATTATAAATATAGACCATGGTCCGTCCATGATGACATTTCTAAAATTCAAAGTCTTCAGTTGTTATTGATAGGCTTACATGATTTTTTTTTTCTATAAAAAATCCATTAAGCTTTTTCCTTATTGAATTAATCTAAAGTTATTCAGATTTTCAAAGTTTGTACTAAATTTATCTTGTATCAAAATGTTAATTGTGTTGATTTCTTTGAGTCAATACATCTATATAAAATATAATGAAAAATGCATACGGTTCATAAATTATAAGCAGTGGCAATCTCAATAGATTTTAAGTAAAGTATAAACACAATTTGATTGTTAATATAACGTACGAAAATAAGGCTTTTTGTACTTCGAACAATTAAGTCCTATGTGTATATCAATAATCCATAGTCAATAAAAATAAAAAAATGTTTATGCACTACGTTTTTGTTTCCCAAGGTGTCATCATAGCTGGCAGCCAAGTAATGCTTCACCTCTAAAAATCAAACTCTCCAATGATACTTAAAAAGCCCAAATCCCTGCTACATGTGTCATACTCACTTAGTGTTATGCACTATTTATAAGTTATATGAACTATGATAAAAAACAGTGTGAATTTTTTTTTTTGCTCTTAAATTATATATAATTTCATTAATACTTGGGACCATAAAATGGCAATTAATTAATTAAGGAGACGATGCTGATTAGAGGATACAGCAAAGCACGCGCCAAAGGCAAAAATAGAATCATTAGACAATAAAGCAAAGCGTCTCTCCAAAGGCAAAAATAGAATAAAGTAATAGGGCTGATTATAAAAATAAAAGCATATTATAGAATAAAGTGACAGTAGAAGAATGAAAAAGTGCTAAAAAAACGAACACGGACATAAGATTAGTCCAAACCTATGGGAAAGAATCGGTAAATTATTGTTCCCAAGCAACCATAACATCCTTTGATTGAATGACTACTTCCTTGTCTGCTTTAATCTTTAAATTCTGCAAAAGTTCGTATTAATGATAAATTTACATGTTCGTTAAATTTAAAAGGAAAATTTATGGTTGCATTTTTTTTTATTTCATAGTCTTAATATTTTCTTGGGAAAACCTAACTATTGATCCATACATTTTTAGTGTGTTTTAGTATTAATCCCTATTTTTTTTTCTTACTCAAAATCTCTTAAAGTTTTATTTGTCTACAATATCAGTTCTCATCATCATTGCTAGGGTTAAATCTGTTGATGTATATACTCTGTTAATTCAATTGCGGAGTTGGTAAAATTATTATGAGTTGAATATTGTATGAACACAATAACCGCAAACTTTTCTGCTTGTCTGCCTTAACTGTCATGTATTTTTCCTTCTAAAACTTTATCCGTTGTGCTTTTAATGATTCTGGTGTATAAGCAAAACGACTTTGGCTTTGGTCCTTTTTCCACATCTTCATTTACATCACCCCACACACAGACACTCGCATATCAAAGGTTGCCTCATGACAGCATTATACAATCCCATGGCTCATGGTCTCAATTGATTAGGATACTGTTACGAGAAACAGTGTGGGCCCATAGGTGAGCCCAAGTCCAGCAGAGGAGGAGGCCCAAACTCAACTTTTTGAGTGTGCGTTTTCTTTTCCCATGTGATTTTCTGTGATTCTGTGACTGAGACTGTCTGGATGTACCCTGAAATTTCTGTCCTATTCTTGTTTGCATGCTTCTATTACTGTACAGGTGAGGCAACTGTTTCAGCCTTGATGTTTACTTTCAATTTGGACACTTCAACCACAGAAACAAGTCAATCAATCATCGATCGGTTGATTATAGCAATTGAAAATTGAAGGATAATTTGGTCCAAAAATCATTGCTTCGTAAGGCCAGTTAATCCTACAAATCTGCTAAACAATAGTTCAAAATTATCCGACATCGACTTATCGAATACAAAAAGCGAGATACACTCTGAGAGTTCAAAAGTCTCACTGCTGAAACCTGAAAGCTTTGACAAAAAGTTGCCGCAAGAGAGAGCTTTTGTCATTGATTTTATCATGTATTTTTCGAAGCCAAAAATATGCGAGTGCATTTTAACTAATAATTTTTAACTATTAATTAGTTTTAACCAAAAAAAAAATCTCTTGAAAACAAAAGAATATTTTGTAACAATTATCTAGTACATTTAACTATTAAAAACTAATATGTTACTCTTAAAACACTTGATTGTAAAATTAAAAAATAATCATAAATAATTATAGACAACATTTAAGTAAGTTCAACATATTTTTAACTAGTGATTTACCAATAACAAAATTTGGAAAAGAAAAATCTTTAAGCAAACTTATAAAATATATAAAATAGATATTATAAGGCTTGATTTATTTTGATTCAAGTTTTTAAGAGATAGAAATTTAAACCAAACCAATCAATTATGCCAAAAGAAAAACTACACCAAATCTTATTTATAATTGATTTTAATAGGTTTATGTTCAATGTTTAAGAATACAAATGATTTGGTTATAATAATTTTAACATTATAATTCTTTAATACCTGTGTTTGTTTTTGTGGCTTCAAACCACATTTAATTAGTATTATTCTCATGGGCTATATGTCTACATTTGTATCATAGCTCAAATTATATTTAATTATTTATCCTCATAAACTTTGTTTTCACATTTGTCTTTATAGCACAAACCATATTTGATTATTTACTCTTAGAAACTGTATATTCATGTTTGTTAATTGTTCTGATAAGTTTTTAGAAAAAAAGAGTTTCAAATATTTGGTAATTTTATATTTCATTAATTTTGATTAGTGATGTTACTATAATTATTATTTTTTATTTGTTTTCTTAAGAGCAAGTGAAACTAATATTTTATATGAAAATTGTTATCTCTTTAGCTTACATAATTATTTTAAATTTTCCTTGTCACTCTTGTTCAATTTTTTATTGTTAGGATATTATTTATTAAAAAATTACTTTGGGTCTCAAATACCTTGCTTAACGCTAAGCACTTGCTAACCATTGAGGGCCTGTTGCTGAGTTGGGTGGATAATTATTTTTGCTAATACCTCTTTTTGATGTAATGATTAAATTTATGTGTTATAATATAAAAATTTATTAAGTTCTCTACATAAGCTATATTTAGTGTCTTTAGTTGACGAGTGTTGAGCTCTTGATTGGTATGATATTTTGCTTAAACTAATGTATTATAGAATTTTCAGGAGGGCCTACTTACAAAAAAAATTCTACCAATACAAAAATATAAAGCTTTTGTTATAATGGTTATTATTAAGTATATCATAATTTCAATATAAATTCAATTATACTTTAGAAATAAAAAAATTTTTCAATTTAAAGCTTATGAGATATATGATATAATTCACATCCTATACCATTCACTCTCTGTTTTTGAAGCATGGCAAGTTGGTTGGGTTAGGATAATTTATAGGGAAAAACTTAAGTTTGATATATCTTTATCCAATTAAATTAAAACAAGTATATTTTAAACTGTTAATAATATTAATAACATAAATTTGTTATAAAATAAATAATATATAAAAGATATGAAAACTTTGATTTAATTGAAAACAAATATCTTAATATACAATAAAGTTCTAATCTGTATTATATTTATATTATCCTCGGGATGAAAAGACCGAAAGAACCAATGGTGACATAAAAAAGCATGGAGGGTATATATGGAATTTACGAGCAGACGAGAAAGGACTAAAAGCTCAGATTTTGATGGATTTTTTTTGGGACCAGAAATACATTTAGATAGATGGACTTTACTATTGGCCCAAGAGAAATAAATGTACTTGACCTAATAACAGATGGAGTTCATGACTAGCCCCAACCTGAAAATAAATTACACATGGGCAAGGCCAATCCATCATCATTTCTTTATTACAAAAAGATAAACAAGACTCCTGCATCTTAAATATATTGATTGTTTTTAAATCACAACACTAATGTGTCAAGCCAATACACACGTGCAATACATCCAAATCAAGTCACATTTCATCTTCATTTCCTTCTTCAAGCTTTGTGACATTTAAGGGATAACAACACCTGTGTCGTCATCATACGAAATTTAGGGGTGTTCATCGGCACCAAGAACTCCCATATACCGGGTTCAATTGGTCGACATCACGAGCTTCATAAGGCCTATCCGCAGGTCCATAAAATAAAATAAGACCAATCAAAAAAATAAGTTCTCCAATCTGACGAAGAAGCGGAATGCGATTTCCAGGAGGGAAATATCCTAAAACGAGAAGAAGTAGGATAAAGGAAATGAAGATGAATGAAATGACTTTTACAAGATCTCCAAGCGAAGCGTTATTGCCCACAACCAAATGTATGGCAGCCATAAATGCCACCGGCATCGTTCCAAGAGCCAAGTGCACAAAAAGCCTAGCAAGAAAATAAGCTCGTATTGCGTAACGACGATCACCTAGATGCATCCATAGAAGAATAATAGAACTGAAAATGGAGCTATACATAGAGATCGTGTTGAAAGCCATGAATACTTTGAATAGTTTTTTATCAGCCAACACTGCCATGCCTCTGTTCTTAGGTACTGGATCATCAGAAGAGTAAAACCCACCTGGTACTGTGAAACCAGCTGCAAATGTCACTGTTGCTATAAGTACAGCCACAAGGATGAGTGTGTTGGCTGCATCCTTAACATTCCATTCTGCATTGGCTATGCGTTGTACTCCCAACATATCCTTTCTAAGGGGGACACTTGCTGTTCTTAAAATCATACTTGCTCGAAACTGTGTGGTAAGCAAATGAAACAAGTAAATGTTCATGACTTTCTAAAGTCTTCTATAAAAATGCAATCATCTAGAGTTAAAACATTTAAGAAAATACTTCAAGAGAAATAATGGATTGATAAATATATACTTATAAATTGTACCTCTTGACGTGTCATTGGATGTTTAGCCTGCATCAGAACAATATCTCTAGCGTTTAAGCCTTTGTCGTTTACAAGGTTCGCATCTGTCCTTTTATCTCGTGATAGATGGAGTAGCGTCCAAAGATACAGTTTTCTTGAAGCTAAATGCAATGGCGCATCTCCATCTAGGTCTTTCTCATTCACATTTTCAGGATGGATATTTGAGTGTTTTAATAGGAACCTTACCATTTTGTTTTGTCGATTCTCTGCTGCAATGTGTAAAATGTTTTGACCTTTATTATTGAGCCAGAATCTGGTATAAGGACATTCTACTCGAAGCAGTTGTTTAACCACCTGAACACGGCTACTTTGGAAAGCAATGTGAATTGGAAGATCGCCATTTGAGTTTCGTTGAAAGGCAACAAGATTAGATTTGTTCAGAAGTTCACGAACACCTTCCACATAACCAATGTATGCTGCATAATGAAGAGGGGTATTTCGGTGTTCATCTCTAAAATACATCAGCCCCTCTTTTTCATGTACTATATTCTTCAAGAAAGCTACATGTAAAGGCAAACAAACATTTATAATAAATGAAAGCGTGGTGGGACAAAACAAAAGCGGCATTTGATTAAGGATTAAATGGTAAATTGATCATACATTATATATTAGGAGTGTTTGAAATCTTAAATTCATTTTTAATGTAATAATAATCTCTTTCAATTTTGAAAATATTATAATCTGACTCCTATTATTAACAAAAGTTAAATTTCATTTATAATTCATCAAAAATTGACAAAAAAGGACATAAATTATAGAAAAAGATAAAAAGAAAGTTCAATAAAGTATCCAAAAATTTTAACTAATCAACTATATAACGATTAAAATAAACTTTTGTTAATATAAATGGTTTAAATTGTACCAATTTTAAAAATTAAAAGAAAACTACACTAATAAAAATGAGTTTAAGGTTATAGATGCTCCTGAATTTATAGTTTAAGGTCATACCTTTTATTAATGAATTTGGCATCACACACATGTACATACCAATATTGCTTTCTGATATGGCAGCATGAATGGGGAGTTCCCACGGCTCTTATGAATGACCCGGCCTGAGGGAAACGGAATCTGCAAAAGACGATGAAGAATTCTCACATCCCTCACCTGTACAGCCACATATATTGGTGATTCAGCTGGGTGAGTGTCCCAATAGAGGGGCCAAGTACTTTCACTTTGTTCACTTAAAAGGAAATTCAGCCCTTCAAGATATTTGCTGAGGATAGCTTCATGCAAGGCTCTCCTCCCAAGTTTATTTGGCAACATAATAAAGTCATCCTTACTGCTAGCATCGTCAAATTTGGACAAGATGACTCTCCACTCCAATATTCTTAGCTCTTGCGGCAACATGAATCGCAGTGTCTTTCCTATTGTTTGTCACCACTAGCGAAAATTGTTATCGACAAGCAGCTCTGCGATCCTTTCTCTCCCATATTCAGCCGCAACATGAAGCAAAGAATCACCCATAGGAGTGGCTTGATGCAAAACAGTGGAACAATCAATTTGTTTCTCTCTACATACTTGCTCTAAAACATCCAAAAAATGATTTACATCATTCTTATTATTACGAACAGCATTGTACAACTCATGACTCATGGTATCTTCAATAAGGCCAATTTGAATTTGATTATCTGATGCACTAAACCGCTTCTTTATCAGTTCCTGCAGCTTTTCATAGCATGGCGTCTTCCAGTTTGAATTCTTCCTTCCATGGGAATTTCCGCCTGGTTCGAATTTCTCATGGTAGAAGTAAGATGATGCTAAAGGATCCTGCAGCGAGGAATGCAAAAAACATGATGTGCAATTAGAAGAGTAGCAAGAGAAGAAATAGACTTGAAAGAGATCGATAAAACAACTCAAGAACAACAGAGTTTTAAAGCTGAGGAAGAAGAAGAAATGGAAATGATCGAGATCCGAGGAAAAGACGCAGGAGCAGCTTGCTGCAAAAAACAAAGCGAAACATGTGTTTCAATCAGATTTGTAAGTTAGAAACTCACACAGAAAAAAAAAAAGATTGGTTATAGAATGAAGGATGCTGATGTTGAAGTCTTGGAGAAGACAGTATATAAAATTTTGGTCTTTCCTCTTCCTCTTCCCTTCCCTCTTCTACATCACTTGACCATCACGGTGCCTAAACTATAGTTGCATTGACTCGAGTCGCTCAACAAATGCATCTAAAGATTCTCTCCCTGGGCGCTGAACGTAAAATTTATTGGCTACAGCTGGTAGCCACACTGTCAATTTAAATGGTCTGTCTCGTTCATCAAATCCAATGCAATATATATATATATATATATATATATATAAAGCATGCCTTGATCTCATTATAAAGAAATCAACGAAGGATTTGAAGGTCAAAAAATTAAAGAAAGAAGTCGACGAAGGACAGATAAAGAGACACTGAGGTAGGTAGCATTATAACCAAAGCCAGAAGGCCAGAGTTATGCTAAAGTATTAATATATATTATAAAATGCGGTGTCTTGATCACATGATTATGTGTTCTCAATTGCTATAAGATAAATGACTTCATATCACGCCCGGTCAGTTATGGGCTATTAATTATATTTTTTTAATATTATCCCTATTTAAATTTATTATTATAAGAAAAAATATAATATAAATTTGATTTTTTTATTTGGATAAGGGTAAAAGTGATTGGCCAAAAAAAAAAAGAATAAGAATAAAATTGAAATTTAATTCTATTTTTAAATAAGTTAATAATTTAATTATTTTTAATTGATTCCGGTAAAGTAGTCAAAAGTGTATTATGATAAAAACTGGATGGATGGAGTACAAATTATAAAGACCTGGCCGATATCCTTAATATATATATATATATATATATATTTTTTGAAAGCCGAAGGTCTTATTTAATTTGGATACAATTTCCCGAAAAGTATTCTTATTTCCTTCCTTTTTCCTTCCTCATAAGTGAAAAGGCACGCCTATCTCATCTGTAAGAAAATTAAAAGGCTCTTTATACAAGGACGTAACATAACCTAGTCCAACAATGTATACTGTGAAAATTCGAGTTAACCTACCTAGTTAAATCACTAAATTATTAAATCAGTATTTTGACTGATTTAATAAAAATTTTGTTTATAACCAGTCTGATAATTTTAATTATTACATTGAATTAATATCTTGACCATTCTATTTTTCAATTCATTGCCAAAGTGTGAAGGTATTTCCCTAGAAGTCAAAAGTCACGCTTATCTCTCTTATCTGTAAGAAAATTAAAAGGCTATTTATAAGGAAGTTCAGCATCTTACTTCAAAATATGAAAGTATTTCTTTTATCATAATAATGATACCTTCATCACATGATTACTGAAAATTTCGCTTTAGATACTCTGAGAACCAATATTCTGAAATTGAGATTTATGATTTTCATAAAATTTTCTACTTTTTCCTATTATTTTATTTTATTTTTAATAAAACAAAAAAACTTTTCTCATTAAAAAAAAACTTCATTTGGCCAGAGAAAAATGTAAAATTCATAAATTCTGAATTTGAAAAAGATAATTCCCGATTACTCAATACTCTGCTCTCTCTTTCTACCAAAGTTTCCACTTTCCACACTGTAGTAGCATTGACTTGAGTTGTTTCATGCATACAAAGGCTCCTCTTCAACCAACAAAATCAAGTTGCTGAACTTGGATAATAACCAATTACGAGCTAAAACCTCTTGGTTCATATGTTAGAGGTATTCATATTCATTAACTGCTACTGACACTGAAAATTTGTTTTCATACATGGAAAACCATGGGGAGCCAAATGATTCAGATCAGTGGAAGGCACGATGCAACAGGTGCGCGGACTGATGGATACATAGTCCAGTTCATCAGTCGATGATAATCCATTACATGGCAACGAGAAATACATTATCAGCAATGGGTTGGACGTAATGAAACAAAAACAGAATAGGAGGAACAAAACGAAAGTTGCTGAATCATTTTCATTGATAATTAATCTGTGTACAGTGCTCACTATTTATAGATAGTTGTGGCCAATACAAAAATGACAGATGTGAAAATAAGGAACAATCTAGAATACTACTCTGCTTGTGCTTCTCACGTGATCTGATTTGAGTAGGAATTATATGCTTTAACAGCCCCCCGCGAGGCAAACTGTGAGGGAAGAACAGTGAGACTCGATCTGAGTGTAGCAAATCGAGAAGATGGAAGTGGTTTGGTAAGTATGTCATCTAATTAATCTCTAGAGGATACATGAAGCACATTGAGTAATTTGGCAGCTAATCTTTCCCGAACAAAATGGTAGTCAAGGGCAATATGCTTGGCCCGGGAGTGGAAAACTGGATTGGCAACCAGATATGTAGCACCAAGATTGTCACAATAAAGGAAGGGTGCTTGAGGGAGAAAAACACCAAGTTCATGAAGTAAGTTTTGTAACCAAATTAATTCACTGGTAGTTGTGGCAATTGCTTTATATTCAGCTTCAGTGTTTGATCTGGCAACAGTGGGTTGCTTCTTTGAACTCCAAGCAATTAAATTTAGTCCACAAAAGATAGCAAATGCACTTGTAGACCGATGATCGTCAATATTACCTCCCCAATCAGCGTCAGAAAAAGCAGGAAGAGTAATAGAGGAGGATGGACGAAGATGAAGGGCATAATTAGTGGTGCTACGTAGGTATCTAAGAATTCGCTTGACTGCAGTCCAATAGGTTGTTTTAGGACAGTGCATGAATTGGCAAACACGATTGACGGCAAATGTAATATCGGGTCTTGTAAAACTAAGATACTGAAGACTGCCAACGATGCTGCGATATAAAAAAGGTTCAAAAAAATTAGGACTGTCAAAGGTAGAGAGATGAGAGTTGGAGGCCATGGGAGTGGACATAGGACGAGCATTGGCCATTTTAGACTGATGAAGAATATCCATAATGTATTTATGCTGAGACAGAACAAGACCAGAGGTTGAGGATAAGACTTCAATACCTAAAAAATAGTGTAGAGGTCCAAGATCTTTGACAGGAAATGATTGGCCTAAGCAGTGATGAGAAGTCGAATAGTTTTAGGGGAAGAGCCAGTGATTAGGATATCATCAATATAGACTAAAACCAAGATTGTGCATCTGGAATTTTTACATATGAACAAGGAAGAATCAGATTTGGAAACAAAAAAACCCAGTTCCATCAACCGAGAAGCTAAGCGAGCAAACCAAGCACGTGGAGCTTGTTTTAAACCATAAAGTGCTCGATTTAATTTGCAAACATGAGTAGGAAACTTGGGATTAACAAAGCCCGAAGGTTGAATCATACAAACAGTTTCATCAAGAAAGCCATGTAGGAAAGCATTTTGAATATCAATTTGCCTTATAGACCAGCCACGAGATACAGCAAGAGAAAGAATGATACGTACAGTGATGGGTTTCACAACAGGGGAGAAGGTGTCGGAGAAATTGATGCCGGGTTGTTGGTGGAAGCCTTTGGCAATAAGACGTGCCTTATGCTTTTCAATGGTGCCATTTACATGATATTTGGTACGGAAGATCCATTTGCAGCTAACTAAATTCATGGAAGGAGAATAGGGGACGAGAGACCAAGTATTGGTGGAGATTAAGGCCTCAAACTCATGAAAGAGAGCATCACGCCATTCTGGAATTTTAAGGGCTGAGGTAACAGAGGTGGGTACAGACGGCGGTGGGCCCGAGGTGCTGTGTGATTGAGGGGGGTAGTAGATAAAGTCGGAGGATTGAGGTACAGGTCTGAAAATATTTGATTTTGATCTGGTGACCATGGGATGGAAAGATGCAGTAGGAGTGGACGACTATGCTGCCGTCACTGGTGTGTCAGAAGGAGATGAAGAGGAAGGCGATGAAGATAAGGATAAAGACAGAGGTGCAGAGGCAGCAAAAGGGTCAGCAGGAGATGGGGAAGGTGGATTAGGATTAAGTAAGTGGGTTGGGCTGGAGCTATTGGGCCGAAAATAAGCAAAAGGTAGTATGGTATGTGAGGTAAGAGTGGGTTGGGCTGGCAGGGAATTATTAGAGAAAGGAAATTGGGTTTCATTAAAGACAACATCCCTGGAGGTATAGATATGGCCAGAAGGTATATAAAGGCAAAGATAACCCAAATGAAAAGGTGCATACCCAAGAAAAACACATATGACAGATCTGGGCTCAAGTTTGGTATGAGTATAGGGTCTTAAATTAGGCCAACATGCTGATCCAAAATTTTTTAAAATGTGATAATTGGGTGGTTTATTAAAAAGGACTTCAAAAGGACTTCAACCCTTGAGAGTGTGTGTGGGTATTCGATTAAAAAGGAAGGCAGCAGTACTGAAAGCAAAGGACCAGTATTGTTGAGGAATGGATGCATGATGCATTAATGCAAGACCTGTTTCAACAATGGTGCGATGACGTCGTTCAACAGAACCGTTTTGAGCGTGAGTGTGAGGGCAGGTAATGCGATGAAGGATACCCATGGTTAATAAATCTTTGTGCAAACTGTGAAATTCTCCTCCCCAATCAGATTGGAAGGAACGAAGTTTGGAATTAAAATGAGTGATGACAAGTTGGTGAAACTGGCGGAAAACAGATTTTACTTCATCTTTAGTGCGGATAGGATAAAACCACATAAATTTAGAGAAGTCATCAACAAAACATACATAATACAGGAAGCCATTAATAGAGATAGTGGGGGATAGACCCCATATATATAAAAGACTAACTCAAAAGGAAAAGTAGAATGACTAGGAGAGAGAGGAGATGGTAGACGATGACTTTTGGAGGACCGACAAGCAGAACACTGATGAGATAACTTTGTAGTGGTGACAGGGAGAGAGTGGTGCTGCAAAACATGATGGACAGTACGGAAAGCTGGATGGCCCAAACGTTGATGCCAGTGAAGAAGAGATGTGCGAGTACTAAAATGAGCTTGTGGTGACACAGAAGAAGGAAGCGGATATAGCCTATTGTGACTGGGCCCTTGAAGAAGAATGGTCCCTGTTTGCTCATCCTTCACACAAAAAAAAGAGGAGTGAAATTCAAAGAATACATTATTATCTTCACAAAATTTATTGAGACACATGAGTTTTTTTTGTAAGAGAAGGAACATGTAAAGAGTCAGAGAGAAGAAAATTGCCAGAAGGAGTGGGTAAAAGACCGGTGCCCTAATTTTGAATAGGCATAGGAAAACTATCACTAACTCGAATAGAGTCAGATCCATAATATGGTTCAGAGGTGATATTGAGTTTAGAGAGATCATTTGTCATGTGATGAGTTACACCAATGTCAGGATACTAAAGAGAGTCATTGAGAGATGAATGTTCAGAGTAATGAGCAGCAAAAGATAGTGGGGGAGGTGCTTGCACAGCTTGGTTGTACCGTTGAAAACACACAAGAGCTTTATGGCCATATTTTTCACATATTTGGCAGGGAGGGTCAGATTCAGGTTGGAAAACAGAGTAAGGTGAACGACCTCCTCTGTAAAAACGACCACGACCTCTGAAGATGTTTCCTCGATTACTACGACCTCGTTGAAAGTAGTTAGACCGACCCCCTCGACTTTCATGAAAAGAAGATGAGGAAGCATCAAAGGAGGTCTTCTGAACAGCATTGGCCGAGAGTTCAATGGGAAGTTGTATGGAGTTCTCTCGGTTCAAGCATGCCTCATGTGTGAGGAGATGACTTAGAATTTCTTCAATATTGAGGAAGTGTCATTGAGTGGTTAAGGAGGTAACTATACTGGTGAAGTTTGGGCCTAGACCTGCAAGAAAATAAGTTATAAAATCATCATCAGGTACAGGTTTTCCAGCAGCCGCAAGGGAGTCAGCTAAGATAGTAGCTCGTCTATGATACTCAGAGATGGTTTCTCCTCCCTTTTTGATGGTAGTAATTTATTGGTGAAGAAAAATAAGTTTGGCTTGAGTTTGTTGAGAAAATAATGTTTCTAATGCTGTCTACATAGCTCGAGAGGTTTTATGGCGAAGAACTTGTGGGATGAGTTTTTCAGAAAGAGAGGCAATAAGAACTGAGAGGACAAGTTGGTCTTGCTGGAACCAAAGAAGATAGTCTTTGTTAGGAAGACCAGAAGAAGTTCTTGGTGATGGAGGAGGTATGGAACCATCGATATATCCAAATAACTGTTGACCATACAGATAAGGAAGAAGCTGAGCTCGCCATATGAGGTAGTTGTCTTCAGTGAGTCGAACTGTGACAAAATGGTGAAACTGTGATGGTGGTGCAGAGAGTGGAGTGACGATGCCAGAAGGTGGTGGGGAGGAAGGGATAGAGGTGGCAGATGATAATGGTGGTGTATGTGGGGTAGTCATGATGAGTGTGGCTCAAGGGCTCTGGTACCATAATGAAACAAAAACAGAATAGGAGGAATAGAACGAAAGTTGCTGAATCATTTTCATTGATAATTAATCTGTGTACAGTGCTCACTATTTATAGATAGTTATAGCCAATACAAAAATGACAGATGTGAAAATAGGGAACAATCTAGAATACTACTCTGCTTGTGCTTCTCACGTGATCTGATTTGAGTAGGAATTATATGCTTTAACAGGATGAGGCTGTTCGTGTCAAGAACGAAAATGTAGATGGCTTTGTTCATGTATTGGAGGAAGTATGTCACCAAAGAAGACTTGAATTGTCCACTATTTCCAAGCAATTCACTTACGCGGGTGATTCGTTGCTTCATGTCGCAGCTAAATTTGGGACAAATGACCTAGAAAATTTAGGAGTTTTAATCAATATTAATTTTCTTATAAGATCATTTTCTAAATAAATAGTATATATTATAATAATATTTATTAAATTTTATTTTAACAAGATTTTAGAGTGTCTAGTGCTCTAAGAAAAAGAGTTTAAAGACAAATTAGTACTAAAAGACATGCCACGTTAGTAGAAATTAATAGGCTAATGGATCCCCTCCAATGCCTAGCATTCCTCAAAAAAAGTTCTGGGGTAAAAATAAACTTTCAACCCATATAAAAATTATACCCCTTAAGCCAAATCAAACCATCTCAAAAATGCTGGAGTTTGAATTAAATTGCAAAATAATAATAACTAAATAAATTTAAATAACATTTCAAACAAAACTAAAAAGAAAGATATAATTATTGTCAATCCTACTAGTAACTAAACATCTTCAATGATACAGTAAATATCTTTTTTTTAATAAGAAGCTGATGTTTATGAATTTGGCCGGTTTATGAATAGTTGGGTGCACTGTTAAACGTGTAGATGTGCTGCAAGAGATAGTCAATGTAAAGGAAGAGCTATTGTATCAAGGAGATGAGACCAAAAAGCACTCGCCTTCACTATGCAGCAGACAGAGGTTACGAGGAATCTGTGGATAGAGTGTTAGAAAATTCTACCTTGATTGCTTTTCAACGAATCTGATATGGCAATCTTCCAATTCATCTTGCTAGCAAAATGAGAGAGTTTTAAAAGGGGATACCCCATTGCATTTGGCTTCAAAGAAACTTCATCTTTTGAGTCTACTCAAATTACTATAAGGCCAACACATCAATGCGAAACTTGTGAATAACCAAGGTTTAACAACTGGAGATGTTGTATGTGTTCCAAGGGAGAGTCCAATTGGTATGACAAATAGTGAGGTAGGAATGATCAGTACTTATAAATTATTATGTCTTCCTTTTTATGATGAATGTTTTTTAAGGTTTTGATTCTAGACACCTGTATGTACCTTACCAAGTAGGACATGGCAAAGCAGATTTTAAAACGGGCCGGTGTCCCACTGGAGGCAAAATTGTTGGGTGTACGACCTGTAGTATCCAAAAATGAAGGAAGAAGTCAACACATCATGCTTGTGGCCATATTGAAAATTGAAATATGTTGGTGGTAGCAGTGTAAAATTTGTTTCGAGTCGTGCCCAAAGACACTGTTCTTAAGAGTAATTCCGGTACAATTGTCGGAGCTTCCCAGGATTAAGCGGAACCCTCCTGTCAAATGAATAGGGTGATAGAACAATAGAAATAATTCAGAGAAAAAATTAAACTCAAGAAGCAATACAGAGAGGAAAAGAGAGTTGCTCAAAAACTCAAAAGCTTTTTTCTACTTGTCTCATGAACACACTCTAGTTTTTATAGGCGTGAAATTCACAATGCCATTGGAAGCATCATTGCTAAATAAGTCACCATCATTCCACTGTTTCACCATTTCAATGTAACAAAATATATAATTTATAAGCACGTTTCTAGACGTTGAGGCAAATCCCTTTATAACCATCAAATGAAATGATGGGTATAGATAAAGCCACCATTTGATATTTTGGATCTCAACACAAACACATTTATTTAATCATTAAAATGAATGATAGGTGGTAAATGAGTGATAAAGACACCATTTGAATGTAATAATAAAACATTAAGAGTGTACGTTGCAAATGAGATAATCAACATATTCATATGTGATAATTAGAAGTTAAAGAGAGACTAACAATTTCTACCAAGATAATTAAGAAAACAAGTTTATTATTTGAAATTAAATTTAAACAAGGTAAATAA